CAACTACCTCAGGACAACAGTGACCTTCAAAGAATGTGGAGAAAGAAAGGAAAGCTCTTTCAAACAGATCCCTAACACTTTTTCTTTCAAAATAAAAGTTATAAAATAAATAAGTCAAAAAACTTAAGACTTGATACATCTGAGCTTCATCACTGCATTTTCTCCCTTTTCTGCCCACAAATAAGTATTTATTCTATTATCTTTGACTTCTCTATATGTTTCAAGCAGCCCAAATGTTTTAAATCAATAAAAAAATTTAAGTTTCGGGCTGGAGAGATGGCTCAGTGGTTAAGAGCATTGCCTGCTCTTCCAAAGGTCCTGAGTTCAATTCCCAGCAACCACATGGTGGCTCACAACCATCTGTAAAGAGGTCTGGCGCCCTCTTCTGGCCTTCAGGCATACAGACAGAATATTGTATACATAATAAATAAATTAAAAAAAAATTTAAGTTTCAAAAAAGTGAAACATCTGGAAAAGACCCATTGGCTTGAAAGCAGCTGCTTTTGGATACAGGGCATAATCTACAGTGGGGCGTGGCACGAGGAACCGCCTTGTTGCTTGGATTGTTCAGCTGATAAGTCTTTGCTGCACAGGTGCGGATTTTGGGTTAAAGGAGAAAAAGGAAGTCCTCCCTGGCTGACTGGGTTGCTGCCCTCAGCTGCGTGGCAGGGACAGCAGAGGCAATGGCTGTCTCTCAGCAGGCACAGAAGTCACAGCACAGATGCTGAAGTCAGTGGTTCATTGAAACCTACCTGACCCACCCAGAACACAATTTGGTAAGGGTCATAGTTTCAGAACTGGAAGAAACAGGGGAGAGAAATGCTCCGTGCTCTGTTTTTGAAGAGGAAAGTGGGGTACAAGGGCCAAGCACTAGGATGGGTATCAAGTTCTGGCTCAAAACACAAAGACCAATCTCGATTTAAAGCCGTTCCACCCTTTGTGACATCCAGATGACTTCCCAGTTTTTCTATGAATATAAAAATAAGAAGCATTTATTAGCTTCAATTTCTTTAATCCATATGAAAAATATAAGGAAGGAACCAGAAATGACCTGATTGTGATCACATACATTGTTATACTAAAAGTACAATGTTGATCTTAGAAGAATGCTTTGATTGACACATGTCGACCAAGAAAGATAATTGTAGGAAAAATAAAAAGTATGTGATAATCTTGCCTTAATTTTTTTCAAAAAAAACTTTGAGATAGGCTGTCCATATGCAGCTCGTGCTGGCCTCAAGTTTGCTGTGTGGCCCTGGCTGATCTCGAGCTTGCAATTCTTCTGCCTCGCTCTGCTGTGTTCTAGACTTATAGACATGCCCATCATCCCCACCTCCAGCATCTTGCCATTTTTGTAACAAAAAAAAAAGAGCTGTCTATGTATCTATGTCTTTATACCAGTAAAGAAGAGCTACAGTAGAATCCATACACTTAAAATGATAGTCAGGCAGTGGTGGTACACGCCGAGCAAGATGTTCTCAAAAATTAAAAATTTAAAAAGGGTTAGGAATGTAGCTTATGTTTAGCATTAATAAATCCCTAGTACTTCCAAAGTAAAGATGATGATACAAAATATGATAATAATGCAGAAGATGAAGATGATGATGATAAAAAAGAAGATGATAATAATGAAGAAGATGATGATGATGATGATGGAAGTAACATTAAAGGGACAAGAATGAAGTTGTTGCCATTTTCTTTAATTTTGCATTTATAATTTATTTAATTTTTAGGTAAAGGCATTCCCATTTATTTAGTTGAGACCTAATACATAATATTCATGTGTCCAAATTCACTGATGGGCATAAAAGATTAGGAATAAAAACTGGAAGGGTATACAAAATCATGCTTCATTTAATTGTTACAAAATTCAAAGGAATGATGTATTCTCACCAAAATTTTTTTCAAAGAAGTTGACATGCTTTTGTGAAAATCAGACTCAAAGATTAGTAGAAAATCAGTGGCTTTTTTTTCAGACAAAGTTTAGAAAACTGTCCCATTTGATTAAAAATAAAATAAAACTTTCTCTTCCAAAAAGATGCATTTCAGATAGTTGACAAGTGTCATACAAAAGTTAGTGACCGATACAGCCTGGTGACAACCAGTGGCAACCAGGGTTTGAGGGCTCAGAATAGACAATGCCAACATCGTGATGGACCAGGTAAGATTTTCAGCCCCATTTAATAGTCTCAACATGAGAGAAAAACAAACAAACAAAACAAAATTAACAGAAGCAACTGAAAATACCTTAACTAGTTTAGAAATCCAAAAGCATCGGTCTTGAATATCTCCACTTGGAGCCACGCAGAAAGTTCTTTCTCATTTGTAATAAAGAGGTCACTTATCCCCAAAATAATCACATAGAGACTGTATTAATTAAATCACTGTGTGGCCCATTAGTTTTAGCTTCTTATTGGCTAACTCTTTTATTAGTTTAATCCATTTCTATTAATCTGTATATTGCCACGTGGCTGTAACTTACCAGGTAAAGTTCCCAGCGTTTGTCTCCAGCAGCTCCATGGCATCTCCCTGACTCTGCCCTTCTTTCTCCCAGCATTCAGCCTAGCTTTCCCTGCCTAGCTAAGTTCTGCCTTGCTATAGGTCCAAAGCAGTTTCTTTATTCATTAATGGTAATCACAGCACACAGAGGGGACTCCCACATCACTCATTTTTTTCATAAAAGAAAAAAAAGCAGTAAGCTTTCTGGTAAAAGTCAACTGTCTATACTAAAATTAAGAACATCTGGTTGGTGAAAAATCTCCTTAAATACACAAAGTCCTAATCTTAGGGATTTTGTTGTTGTTGTTGTTTGCAATTCCCCAGAAATGGACAAACAATTCTTCAAAGGAAAAGAACACACATAAGTGGAAGTTTTACAAGAAAGTGAGAGCATCTTACAAAAAGAGAGGGGGGAGACAGAGAGAGAGAGAGAGAGAGAGAGAGATAGACAGACAGACAGACAGACGGACATATCAGGGAGTTCAAGGCCAGCCTGGACTACAGGGCTAGTTCCAGGACAACCAGGACTACACAGAGAAACCCTGTCTCCAATACCACACCAACCCCCCCCCCAATATGGTGATCAGATAAAGGAATGTTAAGATATGTGGCACCTTTATATGAAATGGACTGGCAATATTAGAAAGGTCAGCAGCATCAAATGCTGGGGAGGGTACAGAAAGAGAAGCCCCTAAAAGGAGGCAGTTCTCATTCAGAAGAAAAATCTAGAAAACAAGAAAAATGAACCCACAGTCCCATCCTGGACACATATGGCAGAGAACTATCCCAGAAAGGGACACAGAAAGGGATATTTGCTATAGTCTGAAATGTGGTTCCAAGGAGCTGAAGGCTCAGACATCCTCCGCTTAAGGTATCATGTACATAAAGTTCATCTGATGCCATTATGAGGCACCCCGGTAACAGACCAGAGCAACAGAAGATCTAGAAGGCACCAGGCTAGATAATCACTCATACTGAGTGAAGACAAAATGGCTATTGCATAACATCATCTAGGTACAGTAAAAAGCACACACACTAGAAATATATCTTATAATGACATTCATGTTCAAAGACTACATACATTCAATGGATACTAACAGGAGAGAGGCCATGAAGGACAAAGGACCACAAAATTAGAGAAGTGTGTGCTTAGGTGTGGCCTGAATGTAGATGCCAGGAGGTGTGTACCAGTTATTGGCTGGCATCCTAGAAGAATGGGTGTATAGGGTTGCACACACAACTACCGTTATCCATGTAATATTACCCCACTTGTCCACCAGGTCCTCCGATTTGGTATATGTGTCCTCACTTGTTTATTCCCCTGTATCTGAGGCTCCCCATCAGGGAATGGGGGAGCAAGCTACGTTCCCAGGCCCCAAGTGAGAATTAAAGTAACCCTTGGCACCAGCATGGCACCCAAATGTAACTTTCATTCAGTTCAACTCACTCACTATGTGCAAAGTTTCATAGAACAGGTATTTGATGAAGCAAAAGGCAATAGCAGAGGGGATATTGTAGGGAACTGAGATCCCTTCTCTCTGTTCCAGGGGCTACCACACACTGCACACGCAAGCGTGCACCGCCACAGGTTGCCTAAGGCAACCTCAGCCACACAACTACCAAACCATTAACTGCTTAAGCCTGGGATCAACAAGAGACAGGTCAAAGGTCTCTTGTTTGGTTTTACCTCAACCTCATAAATTCTTAGCATGTGTATGCCATATTTTAAAAGAAGATTGTGACCCGTAAAGGGAAAAGGAGAAAATTAGCCTTAAACACATCAGTCAGAGACCCACTGTTTCTAAACTGTTTTCCCGAATTTGAATCATGTACACATACATATTTACAAAAGTAGTTCCTACTAATGCACATATTTAGTTAGCTTTCCCGCCCTTAATTAATCATTTAGACCCTTATTAAGGAAAACCTTGCTATATGGCCTTCATTGAAATAAATTGTGTTTTTTGATACCGCTGATCCGATTGTTTGGCGTTACAATAGGTTATGTCATTAATCCCTGATTGTGGGGTATCCAGTGTGCTTCCGGCTACCCACAATCTAAGTAGTTAACACACACACAATTTGTTTTCTCAGGACAAATATATTTTTCATGCCAAACACAGATGTGCAATCCCCAAGCCAAAGAGAATGAACTTGATCCATATTTCCAAGCTGACCTTCTACAAAGTGTGGTCTGTTTGATTGATTCCTTTTGTTATTGTTTTTAATAACATCCCACTCCCACCGAGGACGTGGTCAAAGATTTCCACCTAACTTAGAACCTGGGGATCCCACAGTGCAGCCCAGGGGACCCCTTCCTTAGGACCATGCAGGGCTTTCCCGGTGTTTCTGAAGGAAGGCAAGGGACCCGACGTAGTGCCGGGACCACTGAGCTGGGACAGCTGAGTTCGCCACAGGTCAGGTTGCAGTTGGGCCGGGCCAGGCGTAGGCGGGCGGCCCGGGGCGGGGCAGCTCGGCCGGTCCCTCCCCTGCAGCCGCGTCCCCGCCGGTCCTGCCGACGTGGCGGGGCGGGACCCGGGGCTCCGGCGCGCACTCGGCGGCCAAGCGGTAAGAGCAGCACGGGGCGCCTTCTCCCCATCTCTTCCCGGGCGGGCGGGGACCCGAGCGCCGCGACCCCTGTCCTCTTTGGGTAGCGAGAAGCCTGCAGCGGAAAAGTGGTCCAAAAAAAACCCGCTTGCTTGGGGACGAAGGTCGGGGGAGACGCGGGCAACGCGGCCGAGGGCCTTGAGTGGGTGCGGGCGTGTGAGTGTGTGTGTGTGAGTGTGTGTCGCTCCGTGTCCACGCTCATGCACACACCCACACGCCCGCACGCCGGGTCTGCACCCTCGTCTCGCCTGGAGCTTGCGGAGCCGGCTGCTGGAGTCTTGGCACAAACCAGTCTGAAAAGTTTCTCCAAGTGTCCCAAGTAGGGGAGCGAGCGGTGGGGTCTTCCCAGGGCGAAGCACTGAGTGATCCCGTCCCTGCAAGGCAAAGGCCTCCATCCCTAGGGTGTGCCTGCCCTTGCCCTCGGAAAACCGAGCTCAGGCCTTGGTCTCCATCCTAGTCCATCACCCCTCCCTGGCGTGCCCCCAGCATGCCTGCTCTCCTGCCCAAGCAACATCCTGGGTTCTCCTCTTGGGTTCCCTCTTCCCCACCCCAAATGCAGTCCTTCTACCCAGTTGGCTTTTCTTCTCCAAGGAATCTGGTGAGTATTTCCCAGCCATCAGTCAGCGCCAGAATCCCACCGGCTTTTCTTAAAGGAGGACTTTCTGCAGGTTGTAGGAGCATTATCTCGGCCATAATAGTTTCCACCCTGAACCTCTTGATTGAAGCAGATGGGTTTTTAAATCAGCACTCCTTGAACTCCTCCCTGTGACTCCCCAGCTCAAGGGTCATCCTGAGAGGCCTCCCCAAGCTCTCTGGGCTTCCTAGAGACTCCTTCCTCCCCAGCCCCGATCCCTAGGCTCTCTCCTGAGATGTTCTGATTAAGCAGTCAGCGAAGGAATGAAGGGTGAAATTTGAAGCACAAGTGAGCCCCTGTAGAAGGAATTCGAAGGGGGGGGGGAGGGGAACCTCCCTTAATTTCGGGGATTCAGACGTGTAAGTAGCTATTTCTTTCATCAGACCAGGCTTATGTGAAACATCACTTCTTTTAAATCAATATCAAACGCAGTATATTTCAGTCCAGTAAATATTTGTGGGTCAGAATGAAGTAAGATCCTGTGCCTCACAGCAAGGCCTGAAGGATGACAGGAGAGACTTCTAAAGGCAATAGAGAAGTCTGTGAAAGTCTCAGGACAGAGACAGAGGAGCAGTTCATTGTTGGGAGGGTGTGGAGTACACAAAGAGCAATTTCGAAGTTAAGGGTGACATTAGATGTTGGGTAGTGAAGGGACTGGGAATTAGCTTGACAGGAAGACATGACATCAGTGGTGGCAGCCAGCCTGAAGGTTTGAGAGTAGTGTGAGTAGGGAGGGCCAGTGTGAGAAGTCAGAAGTGCAAGAAGTGTTGAGGTGCAAGAGACAGGGTGGTCTTGGATCAGGAAGGGCCACAGAATACCCGTAGTGGTATTGTGTGTGTGAGTGTGTGCGTGGGGGGTTGTAGGTGGGTGGGTATTTGACCTGCATACATGTATCTGTGGGCCTTGTACATGCAGGGCCCGTGGAGGCCAGAAGGTGGCATTGGAGCCCCTGGGGCTGGACTTACAGAGGGTTGTGAACTGCTATGTGGGTGCTGGGAATTCACCCCTCCCGGAGACCTCTGGAAGAGCAGCCAGTGCGATTAACCACTGAGCCATCTCTCCAGCCCCGCTTGATTTTTAAGTCAAGCAAATATAGGTCTCCTCTGTGGTTCAGAAAATGCCTGTCAGGTGTAGAGACAGGCCTAGGGGCTCAGTGTGTGCACTGTGAAAACCGGACAGGTCTGGGAGCCTCTTCTCTGTAGGTTCCTGCGTCATTTTTCGAGCCTTTTTTGTGAAGGAAGGGAGGCCACCTGGGACAGAGGTCCTGTTACCACATTTGCATCTCACCAAGTGAGCTCATTCAGACAATAAGCCACCTACTGTCAGTTCAGGACAGTTTAATACCAAGAAGAGCATGGACGCTTAAATGGCACGAGGAAGGCCGAGCATTACTTTGAATAAATTTAGATTTAGGAGAACCTTAAAACCCTGCCCTGATTTTTCTCTGCAGTCAGGACTTGGGAACAAAGTTTCCAGATCATGTTATCCGCTCCAGCTTCACAGAAGAGGGAGCAGGAAGCCCAGTGCGAATGAGCAAGCCCTGTTTGCCTACAAAGAGACTCTGCAGTCAGACGGAGGCCCCTGCCTAGCCCTTCCCACTTCAGAATGTACCTCACTGTTCCTCCATGCAGTCACGCATGTGTAGCCTGAGCCCTACAGACGTGCATCCTGACTGCCGAGAGCTCATTTCTCATCCCACCCACCTGAACACTTATGCTAAGCCGGGGTCACGATTCTCCCTTGTGCTAGTTCAGGGGTATTGTTTATGTATTATGCTATTTTACATAGTTTTCTTTCCATCTTCCCTTCCTTCTTTTAATTCTATTTTCTTTTTCTCAGTGCTAGGAATCAAACCCAGTGCCTTGCATGTGTTGGGCAAGCACTCCCGCACTGAGCCACCCTCCACCCCTGAATGCCTTTTTAATGATTTGTTTTAGCCCCTGGTACCTTTCTCATTTCCGAAATCTAGCCCCGTGCCTTCTGCCCTCACTTGGGGTGCTGTGATATAGCTGCTCCGATGGGCCCAGGAGCATTTTAGGTGATGAATACATTTGCTCATGAAAAAACTAACTTATTCCCACCCTACAAAGACTTCATTATGTGTCCCCTCCCCCTCCTTGGAGCTTCCTGAAGCAGCCTCCTTGTTTCTGTGGGTCAAAGCCACGGACACGGATGGCTGCAGAGATCAGTGTTCCAAACCAAAATCAGAAGAGACTTCCGAACTGTGCAGATAGGAAGTGATGTACCTTTCCAGGACACGTGGTCCTCGCTACAACTGTGTCCCGTGCGCTTCATGAGTCCCTGCTCAGAAACAGCTGTCCATCTAGGGCACAGTTCAGCTAGCTTCAGGCTTCGGAGTTCTGCAGTCAGCTAGGAGCTCTAGAAAAACCCGACTCCAAAGGCCCACGGGCTGCTGACTTGACATAATCTTAGGCCCTGGGCATGGAAGGACAGGGAACACCAGTGCGTTATTTCTGCCAGGAGCACATGTCTTAAGGGCTTGCTGTGTCATGTGGAAATGGATTTCTACCTTTATGCAATTTGACATACCCTGAAGCATGCGTCCAAGAGGATGGCGGCTGAGATCTCTCAAAGGACAGACACCCCGTGGTAAACTTTGAATGCTTACTAAAGACCTCTGGATATTGTGTCCCTGGACAGAGCAACATAGATATTAGCCAGTCAGCATGTAGGTCATATGACATATGTCACAGTATGTTAGAATGTCTGTGTTATAATAGCATAATTAAGACATCACGAAAGTGATCCGTTGTGGTTTTCATTTGCCCATTAATGTTTATCATGGCCACATTTGTTCTCATATTCCTGCTTACAGAAAAGTTAAAATTGCTGTACATGGTGATACACGCCTTTAATCCCAGCACTTGGGAGGCTGAAGCAGGCACATTGCTGTGAGTTTGAGGCCAGCCTGGTCTACATAGCAAGTTCTAAGACGCTATTTCAAAAAGAAAGAAAGGGGAAAGAAAAAGCTAAAGAAAACTAATTGGTGCTTCTTAAAGATCCAGACTTATAATAGGAGTGTTCAAATTAGTTTATGAAGAAATAAAGGTCTCAGATAAAGCCTGTGAACAGCTATAGTTGAAAATAAATAAATAAATAAATAAATGAAACAAACAACAAAAAACAGAGATAAAGATGATGTTCGTGTGTGGATGTGCTGTGTCTTCTTGAAAGATTGTCTCTAGAAGACTGGGCAAGAAGGCAAGGGTAAGAAAGAGAAATCTCTAGGCGCCTAGGTCCAGTCTAGTGTTCTCTGTGCTAGGCTCCACTGTAAGTATTTCCATCTCGGTTTCTTTGCAGCCTCGTGGTCTGTGTTGCGTCTGCGGTGATTTGCTGTTATGGAGAAACAGTAGCTGCATGTGAATAGGAAGGTTCATCTGTGGTCAATAAAATTCTATTTACCCGGGCAGGGCAGGGCAGGGCGAAGGGCAAGACTGGAGCAGCAGGTTGTACTTTGGCAGCCTCTCACCCTAGGCCAGGCCCAGCTTGGGAAGTTTTCGTTACCGCTTCTAAATGACAGTCGCTTTTCAGGTGTCCCCTGCCGGCCAGTCCAGACTCCTTGACTGCCCACAGCCCACAAACCCTGCCTTAGACTTCACACACCAGCTCGAGCAAAGCGAATAACCTTTGCCTTTCCCGTCTGCCGTCTTGCTCACAGGAGCGCTGAAGTTCCAGTACATAGTTTGGCTTAAAAAGAGAATTCTAATTTAATTTTAGAGTTTATATTTAAAATCCATTTTTCTTGCGAGGCTCGTGTGCTCACAGCTTAGCCCTTTACATGGCACTAAAGGGAGGCGGGAACTTGAGAAGTGGGGCCCAGTAGAAGGAATTCCAGGCATCGGGAGTGAGCTCTGGAAGGAGAGAGTGAGACTTCAGTTCTGTTTTGCTTCCTGACTATGAAGTGAGAGGTTCTTTCCACCAAGTGACATCCATTATTGTTATGATGTGTGACTTCACTCAGAAGTTAGGGACCAAGCAGGCATAGGCCAAACCCTCCCAAGATGTGAGTCTTCATAGGCTGACTCTCTCTGGCACTGGCTGTAGTGACAGAACACAGCTGTCATAGAGTCAATTGAAACCACCTACATTCTCTACACAGCCTTAAGTGCTGAACATGTTTCTTGAGCTTCCCAATGTGTGCAGAAAACACACGCGTAAAATATTTTGAAAAATCAAGATCTTCATTGAATTTGCCGAGTAAGAACAATGCCTCGAGTAACTGTAATCAGATAGTCCTAATTGCCCATGATGCTGTAGAAGCAAAGCACTCCCGGAATAAGAAGAAACAGTAAATCTATTTGGGAGACACAAGGAAGGAAGGATGTGATGGTTTTACCTGGACTTTAAGCAAAGCAATACCTTTACCCAATTCAGAGAGAATAAGCACTTAGCAGACTTCTTATCTGGTCGATCAGCCGCTATGAAAGCCCATAGTGTCATACAAGCCTTCATAGACAGTTGCTTTGCTTGTCCTGCCTGTCACGGTAACTACGTACAGCTCACCTGGCCTTTGGTGAGTCCATGCTGCTCTGGCAACCAGGCTACTCTAGGCCGGGTTAAACCCATTACATTTAATTCATTCCAACTGAACAGCAGAGTCTTCAACCCTGGGGTTTAGTGAAAGAGAAGAGCAAAGCCGTTCGCGGGCGCTGGTCCCTCTCACCGTTTCGGGTCTTAACAGTTGGTGAAGGGTTCGTCTTCCGGACCCTCCCATTGTGGAGGATTAGGTTCAGTAGCCAGCTGCAGTCTGTTGTGAATGTCTTGTTTCATGTTTGGGAAGGTATAGTAGGAGCCAATCCTAGTGGGATCAGCGTGCTGGTCCTCAGATGCCAGTAGGAGTGTGGCTGCACTCAGTGGGGCTAGGGATAGGGAGTCTCTGTGATGTAGACAGCAAAACTGTGTAATTAGGAGGCAAAGAATGTGGATTTGGGGAATAGCCAAAGGGGAGCAGGAAAACCCAAAGGTGAAATCTCAGAAGGCCCACAATGAGGTTCTGGCGGTGAGTAAGTAGGAAAGTGGGCCTGGCTTCTGAACACCAAAGACTCTGATGGGGTTCAATCTCAAGGTCACACATTTCTCCAACTGTAATTCTGTCAGCAACTGAGGGCTTGCCCTCTACGCCTCAGTTTTCTGGTCTGGAAAATGGAGCTCAGTGTATCTAATCCACAGAAAGCAATACATTTGCATACCCTGGCTACTGTAAGCAGTCAGTAAATCATAGCTCTGTGTGTTTTATATTCTCTTTCTTAATTTACAATTTATTAAAATTTTATGCACGAATATTTTATTTACAACATTTCCACCATCATCACCCCCTCCAACTCCTTCCATGTTCCCCATTGCCTCAAATTCATGACCTTGTCTTTAGTGATTGTTACATATATATGTACATGTATGTGTGTAACTATGGATACACATGTGTATATATGAATACACATTTAGTGCTGCTCATATGTATATTTGTTTATGGCTGACCGCTTGGGTTTAGGTAACCTATCGGAGTCTCCCCTCAGCAGCCACTAGCCAAATGAATGTAGCTCTTCATTTCGGGGCAGAGCCTTGTGAGATTGCTCCCACCACTTCAGCTTGTCAGCTGGTCTTGTCATTGTCATTAGTCAGGTCTTGATCAGGTGACTATATTGTTAAGATTTCATGGGTGCGGCTTCCCTAACATATAGAAGACGCCACCTCGCAGCAGACGTCCTGGTCCGGTAGAACCTTCTATCTTTCTGTCCTCTCTTCCACGGTGTCCCTGAGCCTTAGGTGGAAGAGTTATGTTGTAAATGCATTGGCTGGGGCCAGGCACCCCACAGACCGGTTTTGGCTCTCTGAAATGATCTTCATCTGCTGCCATGATGAAGGGCAGGAGCTGCTTACCTGTGGACAGAAGGATAAGGATTTAGAATGCAGCTAGAAACTGGTCTGGTTTAGGAAAATGTCAGTAGTGGTGTTCTTTAGAGTCTGTACCTTCAATATACTATGTATTCTTAAGAAGGTGAGGGTTTCCTGGACAATAGCACTGAGATTTTCAGCATGTTATTGGCAGAAATTTAGGATTTGTGAGAAACACACAAGACAAAGAGGCCTGCCGTTAAAAATAAGACATGGACAGAGATTCAGTTGGCTACTAGAATTATTTATCTGGCTGTAGACCTTTCTCTATGTCAGAATATTAAGCTATAATTCACAGATCATAAAATTCACATTGTTTTTAGGCATTGTGGTCAGTGTTTTTTGGTATATTTTACACACCTATACAACCACTACTACTCTTGTCCCCTCCAAGAGAACCCTCCAGTAGCTGTCACTTCTTCCCCTTTCTATGAGCCTCTAAAACCGACGCTCACCCATTCCATGTCTGTGGAATGGGAGCAGGAGTTCGAGAGCCACAACAAGCCCTTAACTGTTACAAAGGACAGTGGAGCCAGGTGCGTCTGTAAGTCCTTGCGTGTGTTTGATGACTCCGCAAAACTAATAGCACTTTTTAAACAAGTTCACAGATACGTTTTTTATTCTTCAGGGAAAAATCAACTCATTCATTCATTCATTCGTTCGTTCTTTCATTTGTTGTGGAGACTTCCCACTTGTAACAATTCACTTGTGGAGTCAGAGGACCACTTGGCAGGAGTAGGTTCTCTCTTTCCACCATGTGGGTCTGGGATAAAACTCAGCCATTCTTTGTTCTTTTCTTTATTTTTTTGTTTTGATTTGTTTGTTTGTTTTGAGACATGATATACCTATAGGCAGCCCAGGATGGCCTTAAAAATCATCTTCCAGATCAGAAAACCGAGGCTTAAAAGGTACACTTTCAGTAAGCAATAAGATGGAAGTTTGAACCCTGTACAATCTTGAGACTGAATCCTATCAGAACCCTGTCAGCAGTGCTGGCTGTCTCTTCCAACAGACTCCATGACTTACACAACACGCATTTGCAGTTTAGAGGTCAGATAGGGATTTCTCCTGAGCTTGGATCAAGATGGCGGCAAGGCTTTTTCCTCCTAGACTCTGGAAGGGAAGAATGCTTTCCTTGCCTTCATAGCTGCCTCAGTTCTTGGCTTGAGGCCCCTCCCTCTGTTCTCAAAGTGCATCCCTTCAGGCTCTGCTTCTGGCATGTCACCTTCTTCTCCACAGGTCACTCTGCTTCTCTATCATATCCAGCCTTCTTTTGTTCACTCTGGTGAGTGACACTTGTGATGACGAGGAACTTGTGACTACAGTTAGGGCCACTCAGAGAAATGAAGACAGCTTTCCCATGCCAAGATCCTTAGCAGCAACCAGAGTTCCTATTGCCATGTAAGACAGCAGCAACAGGGACCAGGGTTAAAAGGTAGATATCTTTATAAGCCATTATTTTGGCTACATAAGATCACATAGAGTTACCTCTTGATCGACGAGAGCTTACCCCCACTTGGCATAATTGAATTGAATGAACGTTGCCAACACAAGTGTTTGTGATCCCCTTGACAGATATTAAAATGTCTGATGATGCCAGTGACATCATAGCCAATGAAGTCAGAGAAGATGCTGCGGGACTGCCCCGGGGTGACTCCCCAGCTGAAGATGGAGACGTGCGGTGTGGTCCAGCTACGACTTCAGATGAGCCAGTGCCAGCTGACCACACTGGAGAGCAGCACGGGACCACAGCTGCATGTGCAGAGACTGCCCCTACAGGGCTTCTAGAGCAGGCCAAGATCAGTGATGCCGAGGGGGCCCCCCTCAATGGAGAAGTGACCGAGGACACTCTGGCTGAGTGCGTTGATTCTGTCAGCCTCGAGGGAGATACTGGATCTGACATTCCTCTGAAAGAACAGAACGATGTGGTAAGAGTCACCATGGTTTTTGTTTGTTTGGTTGGTTGGTTGTTTTTTGTTTGTTCGAGACAGGATTTCTCTGTAGCATGCTTAGATGTCTTGGAGCTAGCTCTTGTAGAACCAGGCTGGTTTCAAACTCATGGAGATTCACCAGCCTCTGCCTCCTGAGTGCTGGGATTAAAGGCGTGAGGCACCAGCGCCCTGCAAGAGTCACCACGTTTTAACCTAAACTCTTCCTGATACCCAGTCTCTGGCTGCTAGCTGTTGCTCATAACACAATGTCACAGATTGGATAAGTTCTCAATAAAAGAGGTTTATTCTGATTCACAGCTCTACAGCAGGGATGAGGGGTTATATAAGGTGATGGCCTTCTCGCAGGAAGTGACCCAAGGTAACTCAAGGCATCACTGGACAAGAGATAAATTGTGCACGAGAGACCTTGCCGACTAGTTGTTAAAGCTGCCCATTCCCGAGCTACCCCACTGATGGACTGAGCCCATGAATGAGTTTATCCATTTATGATGGCAGAGCCCCATCACCTGTGTTTGTTTGTTTTGAGAGCTGGTTATCAAACTGGGTCTCTCCAATTCTAGGAAAGTTCATCACCGCTGAGCTACATCCTTGATTTTTTTAGCTAGTCCTTAAAGGTCCTATTTCTTACTGTCTCATGGAAATTAGATTCCAGCATAAGCTCCACAGGGAAGTTCAAAACCATATTCTGAAGTGGTACCATATCAACCCACAAGGGTACCCTTTGAGCCAAACTCTGCCTGTTTGAGAGTTCACAACATGTTGTGACTCTTCACGTGCCTACTGTGTGGGGGGAAGGAAGACATTCAGAAAAGGAACTTGTGGATCTGATTTTGTGTTTTGATCCTTGTGTTAAGAATCATGACAGCCATCAATTACTGGACATGGCCTGTATTCCAGGAGCTCTGCTGGCCTCCTGGCATGCTGTGCAGTTCACTCAATGCAATGGTTCAAAGCTACGTATGACTCCAGTTGATAGGTGAGGCACCTAAACTCAAAGATGACAAGCAGCTTGTCCTGGACTGCTCAGTGGGTAACAAAAGATACAGTATTAGCCTTAATAATCCCAAATGACAAGCACCAGGGGTCTCTGCAGAACTCTTGGAGTTCTGCTGCATAACCGAAGGTCCACTGTGGAGGTCTTCTGCATTTAGATCGCAAGCCTATTATCACCTGTCACCTTCCTGGGAACCAGAAGCAGAGCTCACTTGGTGCCCCTCCCCACAGTGCCTGCCCTTGTCCCTCTGTAGGTAGGATAAGCTGGGCCAGTGTCTGCCCATAGGTACCTTGGTTTTTGTAGGGAGAGGGGGTTTTGAGACAAGATTTTGCCGTGTTCCCCAGGCTGGCTTTCAATTCGTCCTCCCGCCTTAGCCTCTCAGGTGCTGGGATTATAGACATTCCTTGTGCTCCGACAACATGGCCATCTAAGCTTTATTTCCTGGTGCTTTCCCTGCAGGCATGGTACAGGACAGGAAGTAGAAGATGAGCTGTTTGGGTGATCTAGAATGATGGTGTATGAGAGAGTCAGGGCTCAGCTTTCACCAAGGACTAGCTGCGTTAATCTCAAGGTGCGCACCTCAAATCCCTTAGTGTCTGAGTGTAGTGTTCCAAGAATAGACATGAAACAGGGAACCAAGAAGTCTGACCATCCATTTTCCAGTTTGTTATTAACTGTGTCGTTTGGTCAAGAAATATCAATTTTCTTTGTCTCAATTTTTTTCTCTATAAAATAGGACTTGTCACATGAAGTCTTGATAATTGCTTCCAATGTTTTATGGCTTGTATTCAAGGTGTGGCTTCTTTTTATCATCCTCAAAGGTTTGACTCTCAGACCTGCTCAAAGATAGTATGAGCTTCCAGAGAGAGGAGGGATTGGTCTCCTGTCACTGGAAACATCCAACCTTTGGCATTGCAACAGGTTACCCACAAAGGCTACTCTTAAGAGCCACACAATCAAATTACAAAAACAAAAAAACAAAAATAAAATGCAAAACAGTCTCACAGTATCTTAAGAAAGTTTACAGTTTTGTGTTGGGTTGTACTCATAGCTGTCCTGGTAGAGAGTGGTCAGGCCTGGAGTTCTAACCAAAGCTAAATGGTCATTCTGTGGGGATGGTGTGGAGGAGACTTGAGAACCAGCTAGGCATTTGGATCAGATATGGAAAATATCCACAAAAGTTTGTCTCCCCTGAGAGGTCACGTATAAAGTCTTTGAGGCCAGCCATGACCCCCTAAGGACCATAGACTCCCAGAGCAGAGGATCTCTAGACAAGCATCCCAGTGACCAGAGATGCTTAAAATGAACTGACACCTGAGTGCCACCCTAACGGAGTCTGACTCATGGATGGGGCCTTTTAAGGAGCTTCAGATAGTTCTCATGTTTGTCCAGGATTTAAAATAATTGTTGCAGAACAAAGAACCATGAAGAAACTCTTAATGACTCTTTGAGGAGGTGATCTCTTGGTACCACTTCAGTTCTAAAATTCTGTGGTGCCAGTCCAGTGCTTCAGAAACATCTGAAGAGGAGTGGGTGTTTGGCACAGTGATAGAGCATTTGACTAGCATGGACATGGTCCAGGAATACGATCCTCAGCACACAAAAATGAAACTAAAGATAATGGCATTGAGAGAGAGCAAGTCAACTCATCCTTTCTCTAGGTAGCTATGTTTGTAACCAGTGGGGCAGAAAGGGACTCGAGGTCAATCCCGGGCCAGGTTTTCTTTCCTTGATTTTTGAGAACTTCATACACATACGTTCACAATGAAATATGATAATTCCACCTCTGTAACTCCCTCCTTTTCCCCCAAACAAATTCATGTATTTTTTTTAATAGTTCCCTAAGTTGAGTTAGTTTTGCCCTTTTGTGTTGTGGCAGGACTACGGGTGAAGTCAGGGGTGGAAGGGATGGGTTAAGCCCAAAGGAAGCGGGGTATGAAATGGAAGCTACTGTCTCAAAGCCAACTTAAAATGTAAAGTTGAAGGAGAATAGAACACATGTGAAATGAAAGAAGTGACAATGGGGTGGGGGACTGAATGTCAAAGAATTAAGTAAGAATAGGAGCCAGGGAATGGGGAAGGGGAAAAGGTAGTGGTGGTTAAGCAGAATCTCAGGGTCTATTTAAAAGATAAGAAAACCCACTAGTTAGTAAGGTACTTTCAAAACATAACTTAATAAAAAAAAAAAGAATTAGAGCAGAATTTTACCCTGCATAGGTGGACAGTGTTGCTCCTAGAAGACATAGGTTATTAAATGAATGTCACAGTTACCCTAAGATATGTCAAACAACATAGGCTATCCCTACTTTCGTTGGCCGCCAACCCTCACTCCATGGTGTGACTCTATTGTTGAAGATACCATACCCTTTGGCTATAGAACATAGAGACATCAATCTCAACTTCCTGGGGAAACTTCTTTCCTTTGGCTAGCTTTCAGAGTGCTGGAAGTTACTATGCAAACTGTTGGGGGACAGACATCAGTGGTCTCCCTCAATACTGCACCCTAATTGCTGCAGTACTGACCTGGCAGGCAAGAGGGGCTGCTGGTGCAATAGTGGCATGGGAGTAACCAGAGAAACCTACCCCTTTGTGATTCGCTGTGAGGCCTGTTCCACGGGGAGGAATTTCAAGTCTGGTACCGTAATCCTAGTGAACAGCTCATGGCGTAGGCAGTCATAGGCTGTAAGGTAGAACTTACTATTATTTTGGTAAATGGTCATGCTGTCTAATTGCCTTCACAATATTTACACTTATTCTTTAGAGTCAGATTTTAACCCTCTGTGTGGGAGCAAATTTAGCCTCACTTAAGGAATTACCAGAAAAGGACATCGTAGAGGCATTTCATTTATATTTAATAAATAAAGCTTGCCTGAAGTTCAGAGAATAAAACAGCCACACTGATAAGCCTTACAGACCAGGCAGTGCACACACACACCTTTAATCCCAGTAGCCACGCTAGTTTGCCATAGAAACTGGGTGGCAGTGGTGCACGCCTTTAATCCCAGCACTAGAGAGACAGGAAGAGACAGTTCTCACTCAGTCTCATTCTGAGATTCCTGGAGGCAGGGTCACCATTTCCGACTGAGGTAGAGGTAAGAGCCAGTGGCTGGCTATTTTTCTTTTCTGACCTTCAGGTTGAACCCTACTTTCTGTCTACAGGACATTCTATTCTCTCCCTTAGTTTCTTATCCTGAGTTCCTTAAGTTATTATTAGAAGTGATCAATTTTGTACATAATCTTTAAATACTAGTCTTTTATTATATTTGCCTTTTGTTGGCTATTTACAGGAAATCTTTTTGCAATGAAGAAAACAACCATCAAGCCAGATAGTTTTTCTTTAATAAATTCTTTAGAAAAAAAAATAGAAGCAGGCAGGCAGGAAGGAAGCCCTTGAAATAGAAGTTCATTTCTAAATTGGTTACTTGGCTACTGAACACAGGTTCCTTAGTATGAAAGATTCTATTGGAAAAGAGTCAGGTTCAAAAGCCTCCTTGATCCTAAGGTAGCTAAGCCTGACAAAGTCTCATGAACCCCTTTAAAGATGTCTCTGTAGGAAAAATGTCTTCTAGAACGCATTAGAGTTTGTCACACTGTGCATAAATGTCTGTCTTTAAGTGAACTGTATCTGCATAGTTGCTTTGAATCTGGGTCCTACCATTCTGTTCACTTTTACCAGACTGAGTGGAATCTATACCTTGACAGTAGAGTGGTGTTGACCAGGACAAAGCCAGGACGAAGCCAGAGGACAGGATGTGGCCAGCAGTCTGCCAGTGACGACTGGATCAGTTATTTTGTGTTGTTGTGCACAAACACCCAGCACAGACAACCTAAGGAGAGGGAATATTTCCTCTGACTCATAGTTTCAGAGGGCATGGGCCGTGGTGACTTTGTCCAAACATCACAGCAGCAAGAGCATATGACAGAAAGTGTGTTTCGCCTTGTGGTAGACAGGAAGCAGAGAGAAGGAAGATACCGGAAGTGACTAGGACCAGTAGAGCTCCCTGGGATATGTCCCCAGTGGAAGGAAGATACTGGAAGAGACTAGGACCTATCGAGCTCCCCGGGATATGTCCCCAGTGGCATCCTGCTTCATATGTTTACCATCTGCTAATAATGCCTTAATGTTATGAACCCACCAAGGAATTGGTGCACTCACGAGGTTGGCGCCCTTGTGTGTGATTGCCTCTGAAAACGCCCCCAGACACACAGAGAGCACTCCTAGGTTTTCTTAGTTCAATCATGTTGTCAATCGGGACTTTCCATCACACTGCTCTGAGCACACCATTTCTGCTCTCAAAGAAACTGTCTGTCCTCAGGACTCCTCCTCTGTCCTCAGGAGCCATGGCGTTAAGCCTTTCTGCACAATTTTCTCTAAACATGTGCAGGAGAGAGTCCCCATCCTCCCTTGAACCTCGTATGTTAGGATACCTCCTCCGGCACCTCTTCCAGCTGCATGCCACCAGAAAGGTGAGGAATGTGGCATCTACAGGATTTCTGTGGTCTAGCTAGGACAGGCAGTCATAGAGAAGCAGTGACCACTGCAGTGTGGGGAAAGCCTTCCCTGGAGCGTTAATTTAAACCAGTCTTGAAGACTTCCCCGAGTTCAGAAAGGTTAGTCTTCGTTGAGGATGATACAAATGATTCTTGTTTTTATGGATCTTGCAAGATTTGATGATGTACCAGCGTAGTGATCCTTAAAAGGCTCAGCCCAGGTCAAGTTTCTCTAAATTCTGGGGTGTGTGTGTGTGTGTTTGCACATGTGTGCACACATATGTGGAGGCTAGAGGTTAACCCCGAGTCCTACACTTTTGTATTCCAACCTTATCTTTTGAGACAGTATCTTTCACTGAACCCAGAGAAAGGCTTCCTTATGCCTAGACACGTAAAAGTGGAAAGACTCTCTTAAATATATTTAACCATCTACGAATCATGAATACCTTTCTTTTCAGATATTCGGGATGCTGGTAAAAAGTATAATGTGTTCCCTAATTAAAATCAGTTCTGCAATTCAGAATGCTAACTAGCAAAGCATCGATGTCGATGGGGGCAGGGATAATAGAATTGCCTATTATGGCTGCCTCAGGAGTATGACTTTTCCAATGAGGATGCCCTGCTGACCTGGACTGTACGTATTTTATTGGAATTAACTTAATTGTAACTTAATCTAAGAAGCATACATAATATCTTCTATGTATGTAAGAATGTTCTAAAAATAACTGAAATCATAGTCCTAAATGCTGACAATAAAAAAGTAATAATGAGGAACCGGCTGCTCGCTGTCGAAATGGGCAAGTTCATGAAACCCGGGAAAGTGGTGCTCGTCCTGGCTGGACACTACTCGGGACGCAAAGCCGTCATCGTGAAGAACATTGATGACGGCACCTCAGACCGCCCTTACAGCCATGCCCTGGTGGCTGGAATTGACCGCTATCCCCGAAAAGTGACAGCTGACATGGGCATCCCCCTGGACAAAACTGTTGTCAACAAGGATGTCTTTAGGGACCCAGCCCTAAAACGCAAGGCAAGGCGGGAAGCCAAGGTCAAATTTGAGGAACGATACAACACAGGGAAGAACAAATGGTTTTTCCAGAAGCTTCACTTTTAGGTATATTTTTGTTTACATCATTAAAAGTTTAAAAAACAAAAAAAAAGTAATAATGAGAAGATCGGGCAGAGGCAGTGCTGTTGGATAGAGTTTAACTTGGATCTCTGTGGTAGATTGAATGTAACTGGCCCTCATAATCTCATAGGGAGTGGCCCGATTAGGAGGTGTGGCTTTGTTGGAGTGGGTATGGTCTTGTTAGAGGAAGTGTGTCATTGTGGGAGCAGGCTTTGAGGGTTCCTATGCTCAGGATACTGCCCAGTGTCTTAGTTGACTTCCTGTTGCCTTGGAGATGTAGCACTCTCAGCTACTGCTCCAGCACCATGTCTGCCTGCATGCTGCCATGCTCCCCACCATGATGAAAATGGACCGAACCTCTGAAACCGTAAGCCAATGCCTCGATTAAATGTTTTCCTTTCTAAGAGTTGTCGTGGTCATGGTGTCTCCCCAGCATAGAAACCCTAACCAAGACAATCTCTAAGAGATAAGATTAGAAGGTTGGTTCTCAGTGTGGTGATGTTGGAAAGCTGGACCTTTGGAAGTAGAGCTCAGTGGACGTCCCTTAGTTCCTGGGGAAGCTGTCCTAAGACAGGGTTAAGGTTCCTCTCATGAGACTCTTGAGCTCTCACAAGAATGAGTTGTTAAGCTATGATGAGCTAAGCCCTGAGTTGTTCTCTGACTTCCTACTTTGAGATGCCATTCCTTCCTCACATGCTCCCACTGTCCACCATCCACTGTGAACCAATGAATGTGAACCACCATCCAAGCCACTACTGAGCTTGCCTCGGAATCTCCAGAACTGTGAACTAAGTTAACACCTTTTCCTCTAAAATGTGCCTGCCTCTGATATTTTGTTATGATAAAGAAAAGTGGACTGGCTCTGCAGCTATGAAACTAGAGAGCTTTAAATCTAAACATGGTTAAGCTTCAGATCCTACTGTGACGTCAAATAATAACGAAAAACACGAATCCATAGCTTGACACCAAGGAAGTCATTGTGACTTCGATGCAAGTGGCTCCAGGAAGTGGTGCCAGGAGGAATCTTGCTGTGTTAGATGGAGAAGTGGTAACAGCACCGGGCACGGAAGTAGCCACCTTTCCGAAGAGGTGAAGAAGAAAGATGTGGAGCATACACCAGAGAAGTCTTCAAGAAGCCCCTTGTTTCTGCAGCAGAGCTGTGGTGGAGACACTGGACATGATTAGATGTGAGGAGTCACTGATGGAGATAAAGACAGGGGATGGAGAACCATCCGACTCCAACCCTGCAGGAGTCAGGTGGAGAAAACAGTGTAACTCAGAGGATGACACTATTTCCATGACAACAGAAAGGACAAAATCATCAATTGGCTTTGGGATCCTTAGATTTAGGTCCTTCGATGGGTTTTGGTGTAAGCTGGTGTGCATGTTGTATATAAAAAGATCTGCTTGGTTGCTTAATTAATTTAAACAATTAGTGTTTAGTTTATTAAGACTGCAATTTCAAACACTCAATTCTCCCTTAGGATTACGTTCATTTCACAAATCATGATTCTGTATGCAAGCCAAGCAAAACTTAGCAGCCACTTTCCAGGGAGATTTGATTAATGTTTGGTCCTTTTTTTCCAACTTGAATACATTCAAATGTTTTAAATAACAAAAATGCGATACATTCTATTTCCTTTTAAGTACATCATTTATCTCTAGGTTACAAAACCTTGCTGAGTGCTTAATAATTGTTATAAAGCTATTAAATTTATAGAGTAGACTTAAAGGCCTAAACGTTAATATAGTATTCCTAAATGGGGCACAATTTTGGCTTAAAGTCTCTAAGGTGATAATTCAGCTATTCATTGTAAATTGGTTTTCAAACCTTGTCACCCTGTTAAGTTCCATAAATATTAGTAGAACAGAAAAGGTCAAATGTGGACCAAAAAACATTAATAGCGTGGCTTTGGGGCTTTAGCCTTTCTACATTTAATTTTTAAATCTTCCTAGAGTTGAGTTGTGTATATTCATCAGGGAAGAAAATTACTTGGAAATAACTGAGGCCGTTGCAAGCCAGACCTTCTGACAGGGCTGTAGGTGCCCAGGACAGCTTGCAACCTCCCTACTAAGGTTAGAGTATCTGTGCCATGAGTTACAGAACCGGAGGAAGGCTTGGTCTCCTGGATCCAATGGCCAGCACCCCTGGTACAAAGATACACACAGTACCAGATTCCTCATCTGTCTTGGGGATGGGACATCCAGGTTGGTCTTTTACCCTTAACATAGGAATATGATTTTCCACCTAACTGTGGATGGTCTTTGTATTTAGTGATGGTTTTTACTTTCTATCTGTTTATAGTTTTGGACATGTTCACCTAAATAAACAAGCAGTTCATTGTTTTCCTAGAAATCTAACCTAGGGTTTCACGTGTAATCTAGGCGAACTTTGTGACTCAGCCACACTCGCAGCCTCAGTAAATGATGTAGTCGTTTTGCTGGTGGTATTGATGGTGTGAGGAATGAAAGTTGGGGCCTTGCTCCTGCCAGTCAAGTACTCTACCACCAAGTTACAGCTCGGCCCCAAAAAGTACTTTTTATTTGATGTTAGGCAGGACGCTAGGTATTTAAATGTCTTTTCTAACTGAGGAACTTTGAGCTCCATAGAATCCTGCATTGTTAGATATGCTTAGTACCACACAATGGTTGTTATTGTTCAAAGGACCAAGTAGGTTTTTTATATATATAAATTTTATTTACTTCTTTTATGTATATGGGTGTTTTGTCTACACATATGTCTGTGCATTTTTTAATGAATGAATGAGGGTTTAGAGGAACCTTAGGAACTCATTGTCCAGAAGGGCAGAACCTAGACTCAAGCTTAAGCAATTCAAGTCTATGGCCTTTTCTATTTCTCATGTCTCTGCTGGATGGATGCTGTCAGGAATGCGTCAAGATATAAATAAATAAAATTCAACATGTAGTGGTCTACAGAGTAGCAATGTATTTTTCTCCCATAAAAGGAAAGATGGAGACAAGCAGCTCCTGGTGTTGGCATAGTTCCCATCAGCATCAGGACCAGGGTTGCCGCTTCCCTGAGCTCTCCTTGAAGCAGCAAAAGTGACTGCTTCACGGTTAAGCATCCTATCGACATTCAGGGCCCAAGGAAGAGAAAGAGTTGGCAATGGCCATAACTGAAAATTTATCACAAAAGCCAACATTTCCTTATTTATACACATTTTGGTGAAAAACTGGGCATGACGGGGAGAAAATTGGGATCTTGGGGGTGGGATGGGATGGGGGTAAGGGGAGATGGGGAGAGAAAAGTGAGAAGGGGAGGATGGGGGGAACTTGGGGAAACAGGATGATCGGGATAAAGGAAAGTTGGATAGGGGAGCACGGAAGCACAATTCTTAGTTAAGGGAGCCACCTTAGGGTTGGCAAGAGACTTGAACCTAGAGTGGCTCCCAGGAGCCCAAGGCGATGTCCCCAGTTAGTTCCTTGGGCAGCTGAGGATAGGGAACCTGAAATGACCCTATCCTATAGCAATACTGACGAATATCTTGCATATCACCATAGAACCTTTATCTGGTGATGGATGGAGATAGAGACAGAGACCCACACTGGAGCACTGGACTGAGCTCCCAAGGTCCCAATGAGGAGCGGAAGGAGGGAGAACATGAGCAAGGAAGTCAGGACCACGAAGGGTGCACCCACCCACTGAGACAGTGGGGCTGATCTATTGGGAGCTCACCAAGGCCAGCTGGACTGTGACTGAAAAAGCATGGGATAAAACTGGACTCTCTGAACATGGCGAACAATGAGGGCTGATGAGAAGCCAAGGACAATGGCACGGGGTTTTGATCCCACTTCATGTTCTGGCTTTGTGGGCACCTAGCCAGTTTGGATGTTCATCTTCCTAGACATGGACGGAGGGGGGCGGACCTAGGACTTTCCACAGGGCAGGGAACCCTGACTGCTCTTTGGACTGGAGAGGGAGGGAGAGAGGAGTGGGGGGAGGGGGAGGGAAATGGGAGGCTGGGAAGAGGCAGAAACTTTTTTTTCCTTTTCTCAATAAAAAAAAAAATTAAAAAAACTGGGCATGATACCACCTTTATCTGCAAGAGTAAGAGGCAACAGAATGACTGACAGCCAGCCTCAGAGCTATAGAATCTATGGATTATATAGGCCTCCTTCCCTTCATTCCTATTAAAAAGCTCGAATACTTGGTCAATGTGTTTATTCTTCCTTTGCTTTCTATGATGTTTGTGAACAGTAAGAGGAAGCTGTGCTTCCGCTAAATGCGTTGGACTCACTTGACGCGATTAACAGAATCTCCTGCAGACCTGAGAGAGAAAAATGGATGAATGTCGGCCATTTATCCAACAAATACCAAAGCACTCTGCATGACTCTGGGGGTGGATTAGTGGCCAGAACAAGAAAGAAAGGAGGGGAGACAAAAAGAGAGATCAAGAGGGAAGGAAGGGAGGGAAGCCAAACTGGGGGAATCTTCCAGAACACAAATCTGGGAATGAGGCCTGTCCCCAAACTAGAAATCACAGAGCTGAGATACTTCAGAAAATCTGTTCTGTGGCCTGGGTGCAGCTCCATCCTGCACAGCCTGCTTTCCCTTCACTTGCTCAGCGAATAGACTAGGGTGGCCCACACTGCCTGAGTTTTCACATTCTGTTAAAACAGACAACTCGCACTAAACCACAGTCTCCAGTCTATAGTTCGGAAACCAGGGAGACAGAATTTGACTACATTGGCCGGGAAGAGTTTCACCCTTGCAGGTGAGGGCTGAGTGACAGGGATCATTTGAGTGAAGTCGACAGCTTGAATTCAAATATCCCATAAAGCTTTCTGTCGCCACCACCCCCCTCCAGGCTAGTTGATGCCCCCGTTGAACACTTAGTGGCGTTAGACACCGCCACTCACCCACCACACTACCATTCCCATCCCCACTCCACAAGTCTGGAAGTTAACTGTCTTGAAAGACACACTTATTTAGCTCTGTAAGAATGGGCTAAATCAGGATCATTTTAAATATTTTCCATCACTTTTAGATTCTAATGTGTTACATTTCCCTGACCTCCTCCACTCCCCTAACCCCACCCCTCAGCCCTACCAGCCCTTGTCCCTGTCTTTCATGGGATGGGAGGAGTACAGCTCCCTTCTCACATTGGGCCAAGTCCACAGGAGCCAACACTTCCATTACTAGGTTTGGTTCCAAAGTACATACTGCAATGGGGTCAAGATACTCGTTTATGACCCATATAAACTATATGCCTAGGAGATATGGTTAACTTGGTGGGGTTTTTTTTGTTGTTGTTCTGAAATCTTCTCTGCATCTCTGAATGAATGTTTTTCCATTCAGGGACAAAGTGAATATCTGACCTGCTGCTAATGTTTATTTCTGCAGGCTGTGGACTCTCCACCACGGGCAGGAGGATGGGCAGGCTGGGGATCCTGGGGGAAATCTCTGCTCTCATCTGCATCAGCCACAGTAGGTAAGTGTTGGGTGTCGCACCGGAACAGAGTTCAGAAGCTTGATGGGACAAGAGATGGTGACATATTGGAGGAGTTTAACATTTGCCGTGAGAAATCCATTTTCAGTGTTCAAGTCAGTATTGTTTGGGGTGGATTTTGGAAACCGCGTAATGTGGTTTTAAACCACTATCTTTATTATCCCTAAAAGTATAGATCTAAGATATAGATATATGTACACACATATTTATGCATATACATAAATACAGATACACACATATTTTTAAAAGATTGAGTCTTATTGTATAGTCTAGGCTGACCTTGAACTTGTGATTCTCCTGTGTCAGCCTCCTGAGGGCTGGAATTACATGTGTGCACCACCACACCCAGCTTACTTATAGCTATGTGTTTATCATCCAACTCTACTAGTTTTTGCTTGTTTTATGTCACTTTGGTGTTCTCTTTGTTTGAGAGAGGGCCTTGCCATCCCTTGAATGCATTTAGCTGAACAACGCTCTTCTTGTCTTTGCATAGTTAAAAAAATATTCAGCAACATTTTTCCCTTTTTGTCTAAATAAAAAGGAAAATAAATTTTTTAGCTTCAACATAGTACAACTATATACAATAAGAACAATTATCAAGAAAAGAATTACATTTATAATATCTAGTCCATTTGCATTTGGAAAATTCATAGAAAATACTCTATCCTATTTTGGTGAATCCAAAGTTGTGTACCTAATTTACTTTCTATCCTAACTTGTATTACTAACCCAAAGTGAAAGCAAGCTCCATATGGAGGTTCTTCAATACCCATCATCCTTCTATGAAGTAGATTGGTGCTGTCAGGAGCAATGCCTCACTAAGTCTTAGGTTATTAAACATCTTAATGCCATATTCTGTAGGTCTCTGAAGCATTTGAAAATCACCTATCTATCTAAAATACATCTGTTTAACTTTGAAAACATATGTAACGTGTTTGATTATTATAGATGACTAACTACTAACCTGCATTCTTAAATTATCCTAAACATTCTGTAATAATAGTTTTCAAGAACTAGAACTTTATATTACATTTTTAAATGAACTGCGTAGGCACAACACCCTAAGCCTTGCCTATCCTTTCTCCTGCCTTGCTATTGGCCATTCAGCTTTTTGTTAGACCAGCAGCAGCAGGTGTTTTATACAGACAAGGTAAAAGGAGGCAACACATCTTTGCATCATTAAAACAAATGTTCCACAGCATGCACAAATATAAAAGATCTTAAAATAATATTTTACAATAGACCTGTATAACCAAACTTCTATCCATGCTATATGAAAAGATGCCATGTAATAGTAAGTCATGAGGACTGTGTAACCAACAAGATTTACCATGTCTCATCTAGCCTCAGAGCTGTTCCCATGTCAAGGGATCAGCATAGATGTCACCTGTATAGGTTTTCTAGGTTTATTTCTTTATGTCTGTAGCCAGGATTTTTCAGGGTGTCTCCCCCAGTCAAATCTGATCTCTATTAATTTTGAAGGAATCCACAACCTTTCATTTCCTGTGGAAATAAAAACATAATCTTTCCCCAACACAGTACACTTTCTGAATTCCATTTTAAAGTTAAAGCATCCCTAAAGTATCTCGGCTGGTGTAATTCAGCATTTCCTTTTACAGTCCATTGTCCCTTAGCAGCTGTGGTTCACTCAGAAACATTCAAAAAATTCAAAGTCAACAAAGCACCATACAGGATCCAGACTCCCTGTGTATCTCCCATCTTTACATGGCTTATTCTTTTTATATTACTTTACTCTTTCTTTAAAGACTTTACCTAATTATTTTTAAACTATTTACTTTTTCTGTGACTGTCTATATCCATTTTCTTTTCTTTCTTAAGTACCTCTTCACACTGTAACCTGTTTAAAGATTTTTTTAAGTCTGGACCTCTTTCATTGTGCACCCGTAGTGTTCTCTGAGCATGTGAGCCAAACCTTAAGCTGCTAAGTAACAGCTAGGCCCTCCACTGTGAAACTCTGGCAGGTGACTCTGCCCCTCCTTGGTCTGTGAAAGTCAAGCCTTAAGCCCACAGGCCTGGCCAAGGTCTGCATTTAGAGACTTAATGTTAATTGTGAATACTAGGCCTTAGCTTAGGCTTGTCCCCACTTGTTCTTTTTAACTTAATTTAACCTGTTTCTTTTCATTTATGTTTTGCCTCAGAGCTTTTTATCTTTCTTTTATTCTGTATGTCCTACCTTTCTTATTCCTCCATGTCTGGTTGATTGGCCCCTGGTTTTTCCCTGGCATCTCCTTTTCTTTCTCTCTTTCTTTCTTTCTTTCTTTCTCACGCCTAAATTCCTCTCCCTACTTATTTCCCTTGCCTAGAAGTTACACCTATACCTTCTCCCTTACTATTGACCATTCAGCCTTTTATTAGACCAATCGGATGCCTTAGGCAGACAAGGTAAAACAGCACCACATCTTTACATAGTTAAACAAATGTGACACATCTTTACATAGTTAAACAAATATTCTACAACAAAAACAAATGCAACAAATCTTTACGTGGTTAAACAAATATTCCACAACAGAAGGTTCAATGCCTTTTCTCTTTAAACTGTAAATACACAGTCTACAGTGCACAAAGAAATCATCATCCCTATGGGAATGAATGGTCATGGGTTCTTTCCGAGCACATTTTGGAGTGCTCTCCTGCAGATACTCCCCCACACCCCCGTGAGTCCTCCATTATGTCTCACCCCTCAGTGGTTCACCTATTCACTGGATCTGGACTTCCCTGAACTTTCGTGGGGCTTCTCAGCACTGACAGGTTGCTTTCCTGTTGGTGCAACAGCCCAGCATTCTCTTTATGTCAATTGGGCTTGGCAGGTGCGTGCCTTGCTTCTGGTGGGCTATACTCCAGAGCATCTGGCTTCTGTTTCCTGCTTCAGGTGTAACTGGTAGATGTAATGCTGCCTGTGCAGGGAAGGCAGGCTGTGACTCTGTGTGCATCGCTCTCTGTCCTGTAGGCCTTGTCGGCAGTATGTCCCATCTCAACCTTCGCTTGGGCTTGGTGTTACTTTTGAAGTCCCTCTACCTGAGGCGCCATGAAGATGATAAGTACAGGGTGTTGCTGCCTTCACAGCCACTTAAAGGCCCTGCTGGTTGCCCCCAGCATAACAGTTGACCCAACAGAGCCTAGAGCTTATGGTCCTGCTCATGGACTAACATCGCCATTGTGTCGGTCACTGTCACCCCATTCCCACTGTCACCCCTAGTTTTTTTTTTCCTTATTGCTGTTGCACAACATCTTGACAAAAGCAACTTAAGGAAAAGGGTTTCTCACAGTTCTAGGGTACAGTCATCATGGCAAGGAAGACATGACACCGGGAGCCCGAGATGACTTGTCATATTCCAGCCATGGCCAGGAAGCAGAAAATGATTAATGCTTGTATTTGGTCCACTTTTCCTTTTTCTTCTTAAACATTTTATTACATTTTATTTATTATTATTGTTGGGGAGAGGGGAGCACAGTCCACGTATGGAGATCAGAAGACAGCCTGCAGGAGGCAGCTCTCCTACCACCGTGTTGGCCCTGGAGATTGAACTCAGGTCATCAGAATTAGTGGCAAGAACTTTGACCTGTGTAGCAGTCCTGCTGGCTCATTTTCTCATTTTTATACAGTTCAGGATCGCACACCAGAGAATGGAGCCACCCAGAATGTGTTGAGGTCCGGTGCCAGCCCGGACCATAAATTATTTCTCTGAACCAGAGGGGAGGTGTGGGATTAAAGACATAATTCACATGGCTTTATCAGTAGGGAGATTTTCAGAGATCCCTCATGAAATCCTGAGTTCACATCCTGAAAATTCACTTGTGTTTATTCTCCAAACAGCTTTTATACCATACCATAAACTGAGGGAGAAATGTATTAGTATTCTGTTTCCTAGGTAACCAGGCAAAGGTCTAAGGTCACGCCCACACCTATCTATGCCTGTTCTGTCACATCTTCCTATCTTTCTGCTCTGTATGCCAGCTCTGTCACGTAGGCTGAATTGCGTTCTCCAAATTACAAAGAAGGAGCAGAACAACATTAGCATATCCTGACCCTTTGTTAGGTTTGTCTGGAAAGGCTAAGTGACTGCCTTCTGTGAGGCCAGGTGCAAACTATGGCCACCATACAATGTAGGCATATGGGCCTGTATAATATATAGCCCTACAACAAGGGGCAGGTCTTCCCTTAATTAACTTAACAAGATCTACTCAGAGACTAATTTAGCCTCAGTGATACAGGAAAGGAATGCCCGGAGGATTGTCTCCTAGGTGACTCTAGAGCTGATCCAGCTGTCACTAACCATCTCGCTCTCATGTGGTCAAGCTATGCTCTCATGCAGTCACATTTACAGACCCCATCAACGCAAATGGAGTCTAATATACCCGCCTTGTTTTAACACTACCAGAGGTGGGTGATGATGATGGCGCACCCCTCTAAACTCAGCCCTCGGAGACAGAGGCAGGTGGATCTCTATGAGTATGTATTCCAGGACAGCCAGGGCTACACAGAGAAACCCTGTCTCAAACAAAACAAAACAAATAAACAACAACACTACCACAAAAATTTTGGAGACTTAAAATCAGTCTACACTTACCGTCTTATGGTCCCTTTAGGTCAAGAGTCCAGGTACAGGTATTGACTACTCAGTGTCTTTGGACAAATACTAGCATTGTTCATCACCACTCACTGTCACTGCCCCCGTGACCTCAGAAGAAATGTCACTGAGTATCCTTCCTGGATTGTCTCAAGGCATATTTTATAGACTTCCAGTTCAGTGCATAGCATAGCTAGTATAGCTCTACAGTGTACTCAACAGTAATGGTCTGTAGTAGTGACCTTTGCATCACTGTGGCCCGAGGGTAATTTAAAGAGAGGAGCTGCGCATTGGCTCAGGGCTTCAGAGGTGTAGTCTGTGGTCACTGGCCTCAGTGTGTCTGCATCCAGGATGAGGTGTCACCATGGTGACAGGAGCCTGTTTCAGTGGAAG